AAACTGTGGTAAAACTACAAAAATTGCATCTTTGTCCAAAACATTATGGAGTTTGAAAATCTTAAAGTGAGCTTTGTCCATCCTTATCAACCAGCGACATAAATTATATGACATGCTCATATTTTATCTGTCCTGTTTTTTTATTTAAAATTTACAGCAACAACAAATCTGTTTTTGATTTAATTAAACAAATCAAAGCATTATTCTGATTATATTGAAAATATAACCAACAGTACAGTAACTAACATCTTTTACATTGTTATTTTTTTTTTTTTAGAAGTTATTAATGGATTGTAGATTTTGGTTAAGAACAAAGTAAAACATGATTAAGATGTAGTTGTTCCAGAGCTTCAGAGGAAGATGGTGATTATGGCTGAAGTTTTAGCAATCACACCATGAATAAGAATTGGTGACCTGGATCCACTGGTAGCCATAAAAACTGTAATATTTCCTCTACCGTGTTTGACAGATGATGTGTTTTACATTATGAAACATTTATCTTCTCCAAACTTCTCTCTTCTCATCATTCTTGTATGAGTTCACTTTGGTTTCATCTGGATAAGAATTTTTCAGACTGTGCAAACTCCTTTAGATGTTTTTTTTTGGCAAAGTCTAATTCGACCTTCCTTTTCTTAAGTGTAACTAGTTGTTTGCACTTTGTTGTAAATTCTCAGTATATGTGCTGTATTCATGAAAATATCTCTTGACAATCAGGTACCTCGACTTTGACAATGATAGTCCTGCCTCCTTCAGAGAAAGGTGGATGCCTGCACTTCAGTCACATATTGACAGATTTAAATGAAAACTGTGGTAAAACTACAAAAATTGCATCTTTGTCCAAAACATTATGGAGTTTGAAAATCTTAAAGTGAGCTTTGTCCATCCTTATCAACCAGCCACATGAATTATATGAAATGCTCATATTTTATCTGTCCTGTTTTTTTATTTAAAATTTACAGCAACAACAAATCTTTTTTGATTTAATTAAACAAATCAAAGCATTATTCTGATTATATTGAAAATATAACCAACAGTACAGTAACTAACATCGTTTACATTGTTAGTTTTTTAGAAATTATTCATGGATTGTAGATTTTGATTAAGAACAAAGTAAAACATGATTAAGATGTAGTTGTTCCAGAGCTTCAGAGGAAGATGGTGATTATGGCTGAAGACACCAGCAGGAGCA